CGAAAAAGTATGAAAAAATACTCCTTTATAATGCATGTATGTAAAAGTGTAAACCTGCTAAAAGTTGGACTCGTCAAAACCGATCAAACGTATGGCCTTGAGCCTGTGATGACCGCCTTTTATAACCAGGTACGTTGTAACGGGATTAAAATCATCATGTATGATGTTGTTAATAGATTTTGTTTTCCTTCTATTGCAGGGCAAGCAAGAATAAACGCTTTAGAAGAAGAAGAGCAAGCCCTACACGCACTGAACTTACAGGATGACTCATAAGACCGTTTTGTAAACTAGCTCTCTTTCTGTACAGAACCCGCGGCGCTTTGAAAGCTATCTTGTAGATTAGGTTCGGTGGCTTCATCGATAGTCATCACGGTTGGTCGATAGGTCGCCAATGGAACTGACAGTCTTTCAGCAGTCAACAACCGAAGTGCCGTTCGTTTCAAGTCGGCTGTGTCAGCCGGTGGTACTCGAAGTAGATGTTCTCGCAGTGCACCTGGCAGCAGTCCTTCAATAAAACGGGAGCGTGTAATTTCTTCTCGCCCCATGATGTCCAGGCTAGGGAATGCCTGGGTTGCTAGCTGCTGTAATGAGTGAAGATAGTCGATGGGGCTTTCCTGAGGTTCCTGGTGGCGAGACAAAAACTGAATTGTCATCTGCTGGGTGTCTACGGGCAGGGAAAAGCAGTCGTCTAGAATTCTCCAGTTTTGTGAGAGCGTGTTACTGGCCGCAAAACCGTTCGCTATAGCCCTGCGTACTGCTTCATCGCTCAGATAGGAAACAAGGTAGTTGAAATGCTCGGGAGCAGTACGCAGGGCTATAGCGAACGGTTTTGCGGCCAGTAACACGCTCTCACAAAACTGGAGAATTCTAGACGACTGCTTTTCCCTGCCCGTAGACACCCAGCAGATGACAATTCAGTTTTTGTCTCGCCACCAGAAACCTCAGGAAAGCCCCATCGACTATCTTCACTCATTACAGCAGCTAGCAACCCAGGCATTCCCTAGCCTGGACATCATGGGGCGAGAAGAAATTACACGCTCCCGTTTTATTGAAGGACTGCTGCCAGGTGCACTGCGAGAACATCTACTTCGAGTACCACCGGCTGACACAGCCGACTTGAAACGAACGGCACTTCGGTTGTTGACTGCTGAAAGACTGTCAGTTCCATTGGCGACCTATCGACCAACCGTGATGACTATCGATGAAGCCACCGAACCTAATCTACAAGATAGCTTTCAAAGCGCCGCGGGTTCTGTACAGAAAGAGAGCTAGTTTACAAAACGGTCTTATGAGTCATCCTGTAAGTTCAGTGCGTGTAGGGCTTGCTCTTCTTCTTCTAAAGCGTTTATTCTTGCTTGCCCTGCAATAGAAGGAAAACAAAATCTATTAACAACATCATACATGATGATTTTAATCCCGTTACAACGTAACCAGGGATGCGTAAGAGTACTCCACAAAACGGAAAAGAACACACGGTTAAGGAGGAAATAATTATGTAGAGTATGAGGATCAAATACATTTGTGTCAAGTTCGCTTTTCTGGTTGGATGTAGATATGCATGATATATTGAAGCAATATTTCGTCTGTTCATCCAGGTAATTGAAAGGGCAGGTAAGGGCAGTGAATTTTGTACTTGTTGTGATTATACTTGCTTTTGGTACTTATTGCACTAAAAAGCATTCTTGGTCTACTTTAACTAAGAGTTCTTTGGTTAAAGTTCGAAATTTTTGCTACATTTTGTCCTGGGTACCTGTTTTTAGTCCTTGACTAACACTTGTATTCATATTGTTATCATTTTTTGTTTTTAAACCTTTTAAATCGAATCACAATGGTTGGTAAGACTCACAAATGTGGGCAACCAAACTGTTTGTTCCCTGTGGAAAAGGGGATGCAGTGTGACGAATGCCATAAGTGGTTCCACAAAATGTGCACCCGCTTAAGTCCCACCGCATACAAAAGATGCTCGAAGCCTAACTCACATTGGCTTTGCATGTTTTGCTGTGCCAACAAGGCATTACTAATACAGGAGGCTATGAGCCTGTTGGCTTTGGCCTGTAAAAAGAAGGATGGCATATGCGCCGACAACACGGGCACTGACAGCGACGAATGTGTCAGTGTAGTACCTGCTGTTACGCGACGCCTCAAAAAATTGACTCTGACTGACGTAAAAGTGGAATCTTCGTTGACATTAACAGGGGGAGTAGTACCATCTGGTACTGACATTGTTAATAATGCACCTTTAATGGAAACCGAAGATCTGGATAAAACAGTCACCATTCCAAATAGTCCCAGTGTTATGAGGGATGAAAAATGGAATACGGTACGTAGGAAACGAACAGAAAAGAAAAAAGCTGTAAGCAGTACACAGGTAGTTAGTAACTCCCTGGTGGACCCAAATTGTGAGCCACAAATTGCACTACCAAAATCTGAAGGTAAGAGTGAAACCCATCCTGGCGTGACTGAGAAGAAAAATCTAATAACATCGAATATTATTGTGAGCAAATTGCGGGAGTCAAACGACCCTGATCCGAAAATTAGACACGCGCATGACTTAGAAAAGCTAGGAGAATACATTCGTAGTATTTTACCAGATAACTCCAAAGGAGTTCAGGTCAAAAAATTGATAAGAATAGGCAAGAGGACTGAGGACAATGTTGAACCCCGTCCATGCAGACTCCTTAAGGTAATCCTAGGATCGGAGAAGCAACGGGATCTCTTGTTAAGTAGCGCTCGTTGTCACGACAATTCTGACATCCGAGTTAGACCTGACATGCCTCTCGAAGATAGAATAAAAAGGAAGAAAGCACTAGCTGAACTTGAAACCCGTCGGCAAAACGGCGAGGAAAATCTCCGGTTAGTGGGTTTTCAGATAGTCAGGTCTTGGAAGCGAATGCTACCAAGGCCTGTGTGGATAGGCTGTTCTACTTAGGAGTTTTATATGCCAACGCTCGTAGTTTACGAAATAAGTTCTATGAACTAGAAGCACTAGTAGACAGGTTAAAGCCACTCATAGTAGCAGTGACAGAAACTTGGTTGGTCCATGACTTAGACATTACTCCAGAATTATCCGGATACCATTGCATCAGGAGTGATAGACATAGATGTAGAAAAGGAGGGGGCGTCCTGTTATATATCGCTAATGGCATAAATATCCGCTCCTTTACTAGCGAATCCCATGATAGCGGCACTTGTGAAGTCATTAGCTGTAAGTTGGCAATAGGATGTAGTACATTTATGCTAGGTGTCATCTATCGGAGCCCAATCTGCTTAGCTGATGACTTTGTTTTAGAGCACATTCATCTTTGGAGTGATAATACCAGGTGCTTGATAATAGGAGACTTTAACGCACCTGATATTAATTGGACTGAGATGACCACAGAAGGATCTATAAACTCCTTTGATAGTAGGTTACTGATAACATTGATGGAGCATGCACTAGTGCAGCATGTATCCCAACCCACACGTTTTGGTGTTAACCAGGGTTCTTCTCTGCTGGATTTGGTAATCACTCATGAGACTGAGGATATTGTCGACTTAAATATTCTTCCACCGTTAGTAAACAGCGATCACGCTGTTTTGTCATTCGCGTTTAGAACTAGGGACATGTTATACGATCAGGTTACACCGCGCCCAAATGTATGGAAAGCTAACATATCAGCCATTCAGGAATGCGCTGCTAAGACAGATTGGTTAGTAGATACTAGCATATCAGTTGAAGAAGCATGGTCTGTATTTAAAGGTAAATTTAGACTAGTTACGTCCCCGTTCATACCATACCTGGTACCGCGAAGACCGAAAAATAGTCCACCATGGATAACTAAAACGGTCAGGAAACTCCTTAGAAAAAGGAAGAATCACTGGAATATGTTCATCTCTACTGGCTTAGAACAATACAGATCCAGTTATTGTAAGATTAGGAATGCCTGTAAAGCGTTAATAAGCAAGACTAGACATTCATACGAAAAACAATTGGTTAGGGATTCTAGATATAGTCCGAAACGGTTATTCTCGTATATAAAAAGGCGAACTAAGAGAAGCGATGGAATTCCATCACTTTTGATACGAGACAATCCGTTAATCTTAGCAGAGAATGATGCCGAAAAAGCTGAAGCTTTATCGGAATATTTTAGTAAAGTGTTTTCTATCGGTAATGAGGAACGACCAATGATTCATTGTGACCGTGACGGCTCGCTGATGGATCCTGTAGTCATTGAGAAAGATACTGTTTTAAGGCTACTTCAGCATCTCAAACCTGATAAGTCCAGTGGTCCCGATGATATTCATCCTAGGATTATGAAAGCCATATCAGGTGAAATCGCTGAACCATTAGCGATACTATTCGACATGTCTCTGAGACAGTCCAGACTTCCTAGAGACTGGAAAGACGCCATAATAAGTCCGGTGTATAAGGCTGGGAGTAGGGATTTAGTTAGTAACTATAGACCCGTTAGCTTAACTAGTGCAGTTGTGAAACTGATGGAAAAAATCATTCGGACAGCTGTTATAAACTATGTTGAAGGGCAAAATCTTTTCTCCAGGGCACAACATGGTTTTCGGAAAGGCCTATCTTGCTTGACAAATCTTCTCATTGCACGAGAAGAGTGGGCTGCGGCAAAGGATCGGAATGCTTGTGTGGATGTAATTTTCATAGATCTAAGTAAAGCCTTTGATAAGGTTTCACACTCTGGTCTTAAATTCAAACTGAAACGTTTTGGAATCCATAACACAGTCGTCGATTGGATAAGTAACTTTCTCCATGACAGGAGACAAAGGGTAAGGGTTAATGGGGCTCTCTCCTCGTGGGTACCTGTAAAAAGTGGGGTTCCCCAAGGCACAATCCTAGGTCCTCTTCTCTTTTTACTTTATGTAAATGAATTGCCAACTGTAGCAAAATCATCCGTTCTACTCTTCGCTGATGACATAAAGATTTGGAGACCCATACATAGTATGTCGGATAGAATAGTATTACAGGATGATCTTAGCTCATTGGTGGCATGGTTAGACAGGTGGTCACTATAAGTAAATCCTAATAAGAGTGTAGTGATGCAGTTAAATAACTCAGATGAATCGTATGACTATACACTACGTGGATTCGTGCTACCCAAAGCAAGAAACCATAAAGACTTAGGAGTTATATTAAGCAATGATCTCAAAACGACTAGTCACTGTAAGGCTGCTGCTGCAAAAGGCTATAGGGTATTATGGTCAATTCGTAGGTCTTTCCAGTATTTAGATGATGAAATGTTTGGATTACTAGACCCGATTTATGTGCGACCACATTTAGAATACGGGATTCAAGCAGCGAGTCCTTGTTTCAAATATGAAGCAGATATGCTGGAAAGAGTCCAACGACGAGCTACTAAGATGGTACAAGGTCTAGCTGGCCTATCTTATGAAGACAGACTGAGACACCTTAACTTATTTCCGTTATCTTACCGTAGAGTACGGGGTGATCTAATATTGGCTTATCGTATACTGAACGATGACCTTGGTATTAACATGTCTTATCTTTTGCTTCCGTCTAGAACCGATCATTTGAGAGGACATTCGAAGAAAGTTCAAAAACCGAGGTCAAACCGTTTACGTCTGGAGTTCCGTTTCTCGCACCGAGTAGTGAATTACTGGAATTCCCTACCGGAACACGTAATATCAGCACCGTCTGTTAATATATTCAAAACGAGATTGGACCTCCACAGTATTACAAACTGCAAGGATTAATATAGGTCGACAGACCTCCTATCCTTATTACTGAAGACTGAAGACTAATGAATTGGTCTGTATCTTAGATGTGTGTAAGTCCTATTACCCATTGATATTATGAATGATTAAACAGTGTAAGTAATTTTGTAGCCATTTCTCCCACAGTCTGGTGTGGTCTATTGGCTAATCTCGCGGTTTAGCATTCTAGTGCGTGTGGGACCAGTGTTTTTGTTCACAAAACCCCTTTGTATACCATGTTTGTTGCCCGTAAGTCGCTCAGATATTAGGAAAAATTACAAAAAAAACAGACTGATATGTCAAAGTGCCGTAGTGGAACAGTACAAGTTCTTTGTTTATAATAATACTATAGAAATACTACAAGTTTGGTAGATCTCCATTTTACGTTATACTTAAGCGAAAAATAAAAGTTATTGACATAACATGGTTCTTTTTTATAACGCTAGCGTTAAGTTCCAGGGTTTTGTGTAGACCACTAATTATAATTAGTTTAACGTGAGCATAGCCATGATAGTCATTTCGTCAGTTCAATGTTATGATTACTCAACAGTTCCCTCATAAGTTGTGTTTGAAATTAGGCATGTGAAATCAATGCATCTAACATAGTAACCTTACAGGTAACGTACTGCACTGTCTTCACGGTTATTGATCCTGGAATGTCGGAAATTAAAAAAATCTGAATTGTGCCAATAAAACGGAGTTATATGATCACATTAAAAAGCATGCTACAGGAAAACTGGTTAACTTACTGCATAATTTTTCCAAACATGAAAAAAATGATGAGAACCTCAATAAGTACTTAGCCATGGTTTAATCCAAAATGTTTTTTCTAAAGACCACTTATTAATAGTAGTATCGATCGTATCAAGCTACTAAACATAACTTCGACCGAAAACTTTCAAGAAGTAGTTCATGTGGTGTATATATAGCCAGTCTAAGTGAATATATATATATATATATATATATATATATATATATATATATATATATATATATATATAAAGTACTGCAAACATAATTAACCAGAAAAAGAAATTATAGGACTCGCCTGGGTTGCTTTTTGAATTCGCCGTTATTGCCAGGGTTAGTTGTATGGCTTCATAGTACATACTCACAGGGAACTTGTTCTATGTTTCCCTCCAACTTTTTTTATTTGTCTACCCTTTTTATGTTTTTGATTAATATCACTCAGCAATTGTTAAGGAATACCTAGCTTATGTATCCAGTATTTTAAAAGAATTTAACACAACACTTATATATCAAAAGTAAAAGATCTTGGGACTTGTGGGTAGTATAATATCGCAAATTACCTTTTTTTAAAAAATGTTTTTGTTAATTAAATAAAATAGGTGAGACGGTGTGAGGAAAAAAATTATTTTTAAATAAACGCGCGACCTTAGTAGAAACGTGGTTAGATTTTATTCTGCAGCCAAAATTGTCAATTTCCTTGACTGACTAATCAGATGTGCCCAGCTAACCGTTTTAGTCACTTGTAAAGATTTATTGTTTTTACATGTCGATTCCGTAACTGTTTTGTCAGTTAAAAGGTCTGACAACACGTATGGTGGTTCATGATCGAGATAAGCCAGTTTTAACCTATCAATACTTACGGAATCGATGTTTCCATGTCTTTCTATCATGAAATATTTAGATTTTCTTGAGACGACTTTGAAAGGACCTTCAAATAGAAGGCTAAGCGGTGCTTTTATTTCGTCACATCTTATCCATATTTTTAGGTACGTACATGGCTTGCGATTGTTCACGAGTATTATTTGGCTTAAGTTTGGACATATGGTCTCGTAGCTGACCTACGTTATTTTTAAATTAGGTTTTTGACTGTTAGTATTAGGGTTAATAAATTCACCTGATGGTCTTAAAGTTGTTACGAAAACCAGTTCCGCAGCTGAACACTGTGCGTCGGTTTTGACAGATGTTCGCATTCCCGACATAACTAACAGTAGGAGTTTTGTCCACTGATTGGGGTTTGAGTGAGATATAAGGGCAATTTTTAGCTGACGGTGAAAACGTTCTACCGTCCCATTTGCCTGAGGATGCTATGCAGTGCAGCGTATCCTAGTGGAGTCTAGAAGTTTAGCCAAGTTATTTAATAGTTCGGATTCGAATTTCGCTCATCTACCCGTCGTTATTCTTATGGGCGTACCAAAAATGGTTACCCAGTTCTGCATGAAAACCTGGACTACTGTTACCGCTGTGATGTCCACTATCGGTATGGCTATAGGGAATCTGGTAAATATATCCATGCATGTAAACAGATAAAACCGTGCGAACGTGGTAAAGGGCCTACCAAGTAGATATGCACATGGGCAAAACGAGCATCACGTTGCGAGAAAACACCTACAGATGAATTTGTGTGACGATTAACCTTTGAATGTTATCATACTGAACACTCTCTAACCCACTTGTGTACATCCCTCTGTGAATTCGGCCATATATATCTGGTATTGATTAGTTTGGTTGAAGCTTTTGCGCCAGGATGAGACAAAGAATGAAAGTTATTATATATCAACTTCCGCATACTTTTGGGAACGAAAGGTCGCGGCATTGCCTTGGTCGTGTCACAGTAAATTAGAATACCATCGATAGGTGATGGTAATTGTTTTGGATTGAGACTTGAATTGTTTGTTTTAAGTAGGTTTTGTAATTCTAGATCCTGCTCTTGTTCGTGTCTCAACGTCTCGAAGTTTACTGTAGACTGCTGTAGCACATTCATTTCTAGTCTAGATAAAGCATCTGCCGCCTGATTGTCCTGACATTTGACATGTCGGATATCGCTTGTGAACTGTGATATATAGTCAAGGTGTCGGACTTCTCGAGGTGAGTATTTACCGGCTCTCGCTTCTAATGCATTCGTTAGTGGTTTGTGATCCGTAAAGACTATAAATTCCCTGCCTTCTAACATGTGTCGGAAGTGTTTAATGGTCAGGCAGATTGCAAGAAGTTCTCGCCCGAAGGTAGAATACCTTGTCTCTGCTGGAGCAAGTCTTTTCGAGAAGAAAGCAATCGGTTTCCAGGCGTTTTTAACCAGTTGGTTAAGGGTGCCGCCTACTGCTTTACCTGAAGCATCCACCATCAAAGCAAGTGGGGAAAGAGAATTCGGATACACCAATGTAGTTGCTTGAGCCAGTTTATCTTTAAGCTGTTTAATAGCTTCGACGGCGTCAGAAGACAGTTTGAATGCTTTTGGTTTTCCTTTAAGTGGATCTGTCAAAGGTTGCATTAATTGTGTACAACCGAGTATGAATCTGCGATAAAAGTTAATTAGACCTAGAAAATTTCTCAGTTGTGTTAGAGAACTAGGTATGAGGTATTGTTAAATGGTGTCCACTTCTTCTTTGATCGGTGTAATCTCTTCTGGGCTTATTGTGTGACCGAGAAATTCTAGAGTTCGAACACCGAAAACACACTAACTTTGATATATGTTCATTCCATGTTCATCCAGTCTTTTTAGCATTGCTCGTACATGCTGTTCGTGTGATTGTAAATCGGGGCTGGCAATTAACAAATCGTCTATATACCCTTGTGCAAATGGCATATCTCGAAGTAGGTTATCCATGAATTTTTGAAATGTTTGTGCCGCATTCCCCAGGTCGAATGGCATGCGTACAAACTCGAACAAGCCAAAAGGTTTGGTAATAGCTGTCTTGGGGATATCTTCATCAGCCACCGGGACATTGTGATATGCCCTGACTAAGTCAGTTTTAGTAACTATGTTCATACCCTGTAAACCGTTTGTGAAATCTTGGATATGCGGTATTGGGTACCTATCTGGTACAGTTTGACGGTTGAGGGCTCTGTAATTCCCACACGATCGCCAATCGCCTTCATTCTTCTTTGGGATCATATGCAAAGGGGATGCCCATTGACTATCAGAGGGACGGATAATACCCAGTTGTAGTATATAGTCGAATTCGGCCGTGGCGATTTTGAGCTTATTTGGTGCTAGTCTTCTGGGTTTTGCAAACACAGGTGCACCTTCGGTTTTGATAGTATGACTTACTTTTAGTTTGTCTTTGTAAGGCTGTGGGGTTGATCTAGTTAAGTTTGGAAATTCCGCCAATATATCTTGGAATTTCGCTGTTGTTACTGGAGGAGTTTGAATCAAGTTAAGAGATGTGATGTGACTTTCTTTGCCTTTTGTGTAATTCGAAGTTTCTTTCGGTGTTAAGCGTCGTTTCTTAGTGTCAACTAGAAATTCGTATCTCTCTAGAAAGTCCATCCCCAGTATTGCCAGATCTAAATCGGTTACAGTGAAAACTCAGGGGAATGGCCTCCTGAATCCCAAATCTATTGTTAAAGTTTTCTACCCGAATGTCACGATTTTAGTTTTATTGGCAGTTTGAAGTGTAATTGGGGATGTTCCTCGACTCAGCTCAGTTTTATTTTAAGGGATGATACTAAGAACGGCGCCAGTATCTACCAAGAAATTCAAGCCAGAGTTTCTGTCTAACATAAAACAAACGATTGTTTAGGCGCCCCTCCTCAGTCGCCGCGACCTGGGGAGGGTTCACTCGTTTCCCGCTTTCTTGGAATTTTACTTAGGCTAGGCGCATAGTTGCATGCACTTGGTTGGGTTGACACCAAACTTCTAGTGATACCAACAGAACTGCCCAGATTGTCTGGACATTTGTGACCTGTTTTGTAACTTGGGTCTTGGTCATTGTGGTGACCTACTCCTGTTTCCATGACCCATTTGCATTCTGGCGACAGCCTCAGTGAGACTTTTAACACTCGCAATGAGTCCTTCTATGACTGGGTCTTTTGCTGGTCCTTCTTTTTGTGTATGATTTATCGTGCGTGATCCAGTTGGAGGACCTCTTTCCATTATTCTATCGGCTATAGGCGCTAAATGAGATAAAGAGGTTTCAGGATCTTGTGTATCCAAACAGTGTTGGACGTAGCATGTGAGAACTTGTGTCCATCCTTCTTTTAAGACTGCTTCACCCACTAAGACTTGGAGGTGACGTAAAACTGTGACGGCGACCTATCACCTAGTGTTTCTCCTTAGAAAAGCCTTTGGATTCTTTGACTGTCTGATAATGATAAACGGTCTATT